CTAATTATGAACAATACTTGTAAATAATTTATTAATTATAGTTATTTACATTCATGTTTGTTAACATTAGTTAATGCACCATAAGTTGAGATGAACAAACAATGAACACTGTAATTTTAATGAACTAGAACTCCTGTAACATGAACAAATACTGTAATAAATCTGTAATATATACTGTATTGTTTATTGTTTGCATTAAATGCAATAACTAACAATAACTTGGAATATGGAACAACTGTCTTTACGCTGTTTTTATCTGTTCTTATATTATTTGTTTTTATTTTGTTTATGCTTGTCTCTTTTATACCTGCTTATGTAAAGCACTTTGAATTGCCACTGTGTCTGAAATGTGCATTATAAATAAACCTGCCTTGTCTAATACAACCTTATTGTAAAGTGTTAGAAAGCCTTTGTTTTTCTGACCAACTGACATTTCATGAAAAAAAATGCTCCAAATAATATTTTATTAGAAATTTCTAAGTAATTGTATCACACTTTTATAGAATAAAACAAATATTATAAATTTAAATAAAAACATCCTTAATAAATCCAGCAAATCCAAATATGCCAATGCAACTTTTGATTATTATTTATTTAGCTTAAAATTTAAATAAAGTAATTAAACTTAAAAATATATGACAAAATTTGTCAAACTTAAACTTAAATTGAAAATATAAAAAAAGTTTAGAAAATAAAAGCTATACAGCATATACTTAGACAAGTAAACATGTATGTTTTATTTTAAACAATATAAACATAATTAACATATTGCCATAATAAAAATACAGTGCTCAGCATAATTGAGTACACACCATTTTAAAAATCAATATTTTTTTATTAATTTCTCAGTGAATATAGGTAATGTCTTGTGGTGCATTTAAACAAAACAGATTTATTAAACATATATATTTATCAAAATAATATTTTAGTCACCAAACATATTTAGAAGTTAAAAGATAATACAAATAAATAATAATGAATGCAAGCAAAATATTAATAATAATAAATAAATTGTATAAAAAATTACAACCAACATTTTTTTTTGTTCTCTTGATTTTTCCTCTTTTTAAATTGTTATTTAATATTTTTCTATAACATAAATTTGGGTGTACTAGTTTTTGGACCGTTTTCGTAAGTTATTTTGTTAGATAAGCTTCAGATTTGGTTTCAGTACAGACTAATCTAATGAATATGCACAAATATTGTAGCTGCCTATTAAAAATAAGAATTTAAAAGAGAGATTTGTAAGAGGTGTACTTATATAAGCTGAGCCCTGTATATTTAATACATATTCTAAATTTAAACCTAAAAATAAAAATCTGACACCTTATTAATAAATGGCTGGAATGTAAAAGGTAAACACCTCACAAAAATATATCAGAACAAATAAATAAAAAAAGTAAGAGTCAGTTGTGATGAAATGGTTTGCAGGCTTACAGAAGCGCTGGTGTCCTTGAAGGTTGTGTGAACTGAGAGATTTCAAAGAGGATGAGGGTTCAAAGCGTGTACGGTGTCCTTCTCAATCAGACTGACTGCTACTTTAATCCACTGCTCTGTATGTGCACGGCATACTGGAAAAAATATTAGAGGTCATTGTCTGATTTCTTTCCTTGAATCAATCACAGCATCCTTTCTGCAAGGGGAAATTAATATTGTGTAACATATATAAAGCATTCTTGTTTTCTGCATGTTTTTTTTGTTTGTTTTTACAAATAATACATTAAATATGAAGTCAGAATGATACATAATACATCCTATAGTGTATATGAATGTTTAGAGTCAACACATTTTTAAATAGCAAAAATATTATGAAGTAGCCTACAATAGGTGACACTTTATTAGTTTTCATTATTAAGCATTAATGTATTAACTAACTGTGAAACAAAATAGCTACATTTGATGTTACAGTTGAAGTCAGAATTATTAGCCCCCCTGAATTATTAGCTCCTTTTTATTTTCCCCCCTATTTCTGTTTAACGGAGAGAAGATTTCTTCAACACATTTCTAAACATAATAGTTTTAATAACTCATTTCTAAAAACTGATATATTTTATCTTTGCCATGATGACAGTAAATAATATTTTACAAGATATTTTTCAAGACACTTCTATACAGTTTAAAGTGACATTTAAAGGCTTAACAAGGTTAACTATTGGTTAAAGTAATTAGCTAAGTTATTGTATAATGATGGTTTGTTCTGTAGACTATAGAAAAAAATATATAGCTTAAAGGGGCTAATAATTTTGACCTTAAAATGTTTTTTAAAAAAATTAAAAACTGCTTTTATTCTAGCCAAAATAAAAGAGATAACAAAAAATATAATCGGAAATACTGTGAAATTGTATTGCTCTGTTAAACATAATTTGAGAAAGATTAATTTAAAAATTAAAAAATCAAAGGGGGCTAATAATTCTGACATCAACTGTATCTTAATGTTTGATTTAAAAAAAATAATAAAATAACATTAACAATTAATATTACTTAAAGGCCTAAATGCTTTATAAGGAGTTTTCATAACCCAGTTGAAGAATTAGCTTGAAAATAAATAGTCAAAGCCTTTATGAACACAATTGTGCATACAGCAATATTCTTACATAGTACTTTTAAAAATGTATTATTATTCACGGTATTTTAAAATGGCCACAATCATGCATGTTCATTAAAACGAAATATTGTGTTGTTAAATATCCACACGTCTTCTTGCAGTGTTTTTATTCAGTATATGTTCTCTTTCAAGAATGACATTGTCATTCAAACAATAAATTTACTTCAGATAAGATTACATTATATAGACAGATTATACAGTGTTTCTTGCTTCTAAAGCGTCTCTCCAGGTCCATGAAATAAAAGAGAAACACGTTGACGATCCACGTTACACACGAAACGAAATACATTTCTAACAAAGCACTGCTGCCATCTAGCGTCACAAACAACGAACTAAAATCCTGTTCAGAAAGTGACAACACAAGAGAAATACATGTTAAATGGCAGTTCTCTGAGGAGAACTAAACAATGACTGCACAGATTCAAATATTTAAGAGGTAAGAGTTGTTTAATCTGAGGTAAAGTTACAGCAAATACAAAGACAGATTAAATTTGTTGAGCATATTCTGTACACTAGCATAAGCAGTCTTTGGAATACATCAAATTAATACATACTGTATATGAGGTACAACATTATAATTCAAATGAATTTTAAAAGCTTTTTAAAGGAAATGTTGTGATTATGATAAAATATAGAACATAAATCAATGACACAGACAATAACACAAAATAAACAACTTGTGAAGTACCGGATATTAAAAATACTGAACTTCAGAATGTGAAAAGAAAGAAACATAGTTAAATGTCAAATGTATTTAGAGTTTGCATTATGTACAGTAAACAATGCATTTTCATATACTTTATTTCAATTGTTAATCCGACCGGCAGACTCCCCCTCACGTTCTTCTAAACCTTTATGAGTTTCATTTTTATGTTGAACACAAATTAAGATATTTTGAAAAAGGTTGAAAACCTGTAGCCATTGATATCCATAGTATAAAAACAAATAAATATGAAAGTCAATGGCTCAATATTGCTAAAATATCTTCTTTTGTTCAAGAGGGTTGGAAAAAGTAAAGGGTGAATAAACGATGAGAGAATTTTCATTTTTGGGTGGACTACAGTGCATCCGGAATGTATTCATAGCGCTTCACCTTTTCCACATTTTTTTTTTTGTTGCAGCCTTATTCCAAAATAGATTAAATTAAACTATTTCCTCAAAATCCTACACACAATACCCCATAATGACAATGTGAAATAAGAATTTTTAAAATTGTTGCAAATTTATTAAAAATAAAAAAGCTGTAAAATCACATGTACATACAGTGAGTATTTACAGCCTTTGCTGTAAAGCTCTAATATGAGCTCAGGTACATTCTGTTTCCACTGATCATTCTGGAGATGTTTTAGCAGCTTAATTGGAGTTTACCTGTGGTAAATTCAGTTGATTGTACATGATCTGAAAGGGCATACACCTGTCTATACAAGGTCTCAGGGTTGACAGTGTATGTCATAGCACAAATCAAGCACAAAGACAAAGGAATTTTCAAAAGATTGTCTCAGCGCAAGGCTGGGGAAGGTTACAGAAAATTTTCTGCTTCTCTGAAAATTTCAATGAGCACAGTGGCCTCCATTATCCATAAGTGGAAGATTTTTGGAACCACCAGGACTCTTCCTAGAGCTGGCCAGCCATCTAAGCTGAGCGATCAGGGGAGAAGAGCCTTAGTCAGAGAGGTGATCAATAACCTGATAGTCACTCTGTCTGAGCTCCAGCGTTCTTCTGTGGAGAGAGAAGAACCTTACAGAAGGGCAACCATCTGAGCAGCAATCTACCAATTAGGCCTGTATGGTAGAGTGGCCAGACGGAAGCCACTTCCTGCCTGGAATTTGCCAAAAGGCATCTGAAGAACTCTCAGACCATAAGAAACAAACTTGTTTGATGAGACTAAAATTGAATTCTTTGGAGTGAATGCCAGACGTTAAATTTGGAGAACACCAGGCACTGCTCATCACCAGGCTAATGCCATCCCAACAGTGTAGCATGGTGGTGGCAGCATCATGCTGTGGGGATGTTTTTCAGCAGCAGGAACTGGAAGACTAGTCAGTAGAGGGAATAGAGGGAAAGATGAATGCAGCAATGTACAGACACATCCTGAATGAAAACCTGCTCTTTACCTCAGACTGGGGCAATGGTTCATCTTCCAACAGGACAATGACCCAAAGCACACCACCAAAATATCTATGAAGTGGATTCACAACACCTTGGTGAATGTCCTTGAGTGGCTTAGCCAGAGCCCAGGCCTAAATCCTATGGATCAACTCAAGAGAGATCTGAAACGGGTTGTACACCGTCGCTTCCCATCCAACCTGATAGAGCTTGAGAGGTACTGCAAAGAGGAATGGGCAAACATTCCCAAAGACAGATGTGCCAAGCTTGTGGCCTCTTATTCAAAAAGACTTGAGCCTATAATTGATGCCAAAGGTGCATCAACAGAGTACTGAGTAAAGGCTGTGAATACTTATGTACATGTGATTTTTCAGATTTTTTATTTTCAATAAATTTGCAATTTATCATTATGGGGTATTGTGTGTAGAAGATTGAGGAAATAAATAACATTAATCCATTTTGGAATAAGGCTGCAACATAAAAAATGTGGAAAAAGTGAAGCGGTATGAATACTTTATGGATGCATTTTATCTTTTTAAGGGACACAGTAAATACATACACAACTGAAATGCTTACTCTTAAATGACAGACAGTTTAAAAAGCAGTAATCATTCAAAATCCTGTGTATGATTGTCTGGAATAACACTATGATTAAAGATAATATGATTGCCACAATATCAATTTCTCAAAACTGCCATGATATTTTAATCATCTGTTGGCTATTTGTGAGACTCAAGGATCTGCAGGATGAGTTTATAATTAAAGTTCCATATGACGGAGTTCCATATATTTGTTTTTAATGTCAGAGCTCCACAGTGCGGAGGTGTCCACGTGGAGACATAGATCCCAGGTTATGGAGAACACACTCAGAGGCCTCCATTACACTCCCACAACACGACCAGTGCGGCTTACCGGGGTGTCCTTTATGACCGTGTCCACAACCCTTAAACCCCCCTGTACACACAAAAACAGCACTAAGTATTACATCCAATGACACACATCTCTGTTGACATTATGAACATAATAATCAATCAGATTCATTAAACTCAAAACAACAAAACAAAGTGCATATAAGATGCAATTAAGATTTTATATGGGACTTTTGGGAGCCTCTGTGAGTTTTTATGATGCCAAAATATGAATAGTCAGAATATGATGTGTCATTTCCCCTGGGGTGGTTTGAAAGACCCACTGCTCACTGACAAATGCCAGAAATTGTTTGTTCTATTTTGACTGCTATGCCATCATGGTGAAAATAATCCATTGAAAAAGGCTTTAAGACCAAGCGGAATCCTTTGTTGTGGAGTCCAACATCGTTTTTTTTACTACTGTATTGTTTTTAAATGGAGAAAACATTTTACAAGTAACCTTTATTCTAAATCTTGGACCTTATTCTTAAAACAAAACAAAAGACCAATAAAAAGGTGTGAAGCACCAAAAGTGTACCGTATTAAAATTTATTTGAATAATATTTTGGCTAAAATAGTCAAAAAGTGTGGTTATGATGACCATCCGTCAAGCTAATTCAGATTAGTGCTTAAAATGTCACTAAAATGCAGTTTAAATTTCAGAATTCAATAGAAAATGAGGCGTACAATTGCAAAAAGATGCACTTTTGAGAAAAAGAACCACCCCTTTCACCAGGCTGTCTACAGGTCTGATGTTTTCTGTTGTAATAACAAGAAAGCTACAATTTTTAGCTTAGAGGCAGACAGATCAGACGTTAAACAATTAAGAAAATATTTTTTTTAAATAAATGTTTCCAATTTACAAGACCAAAAAGTTTGAAATCCACAAATATTAGAAGAAACATTTGTTAATTCTTAGTGTCTCTGGATTAACCAAGTCTTATTTTGAGTACTATGTTTATATTTGTTTCAATTTATGAAGGTCCGATAACATTTCTTTCAAATTTGAAGGAAAATGATTGTCATTTAGAGCATTGTGAGAATAAAAAACGTTTTATTTTTTGTGATTGAAAATCAGTATTATTTTACCAAATATGAAAATTCAAAACTCCTCTGAAATCATAAAAAATGGGGCGCATTATTTTAGTTTATGCAACAAAAAAACTACAAGAAAATACACCTTTTTATTTTAAATTTGGAAAAAATACCATCTGTACAGACAAAAACTAAAAATATATGTTTTTCTTAAACACGCAGTAATAAATCCAGAGAAGCTGAGAATATTCGAGTAGTCTCTTGATTTTTTTTATTGTAGCTGTATGTAAAGAGTACCTGGCATGGTCCCTGTGCAGCCGCAGCGAGCCTCTTTACTGCCCCCACTGGAGCAAAAGGAGCAGCAGTGGAAGATACCACTGTGACGTCTCAACTTCCTCTTCACGTTCAGCACAAATGGTGAGCCCTAGTAACCAGAGATTATCAGTCCCAGCATAACTGCTTTTTAAAGGCATTAATAATTCTTTTAAAATAATTATCAATAAATAGCTGTACTGTTTATTATCTGCACATGTACCTGGACGTGCTGTGCTTTAACACAGACCCACACTGAGTAAAGTCCAGCCTCAGCAGGGCTGTAAGACACACAGTAGGAGCCGTCGCTGTTGTCCACCACAGACGCCTCTACACTGCTGGAATATGACATCAAAGAGAAAGCTCACTGTCTGGATAATGTTATTATCTCATCTCAGATGCTGATAATGTTCAGTATTTTGACTGCAAGGTCTGCTCTTTCTCCTTGGTTATTTATTGATTGCCTCTATAAGTTCTAACAGGTCAAAATGGTCTTTTAAAATAACGCATATATGACAGCTATGAGCAGAATCCCGGAAAATAAACCTTGAAACTCTGATCAATGAATGACATGTTTAGTCTACTCGCATATGACTATCAATTTTGGTTGATTTTAAAACATTTGTCTGAAAGCAAACCACAGCAAGCAATATTGTAACAACTTTAATCCCAGTTTTAAAACAAGCCAGTTGATCTACTGGGATGAAAGCACTTATCATACAAGAAAAATAACTGAAGTAACAGGTAACATTCGGTGTTTGACATAATTTAAAGCGCATCTTTATGTCCGAGCTTTGATATAAATCAGCAATGACTTAGAGGAAAGAGCACTATAGTGGTCAATCCAAATTAAACGAGGGCTTGTGCCCCTCTTGCCCCACCCTTTGATCCGCCAGTCTATAACTAGTTTCAGGCAATTCGAATAGTTTTTATTTTCCTTTCTGAGGACACCCTTCATGAATAATAATATGCAAAAAGCACAATAAAGACACTTTAACTTATATCAAGTATAATCTCAAAAGAAAACAGCATATTTAAAAAAATTTAATCAGAATTACAATGCATTGGCTTTTGGTATGCTTCAAGTAAAGATTTAATTATTATTATTTAAATGTATTAGTGTTAATTTTTTCATATCCTCACCAGCCCTTCTTCTCCCTGTGGACTATGCTGACCATCACAGGGTCTCCACCCTGGCCCATCTGCTCTCCAGAAGTGTCCCTGCAAACCAGAGTGAACTCGCCCCGCTGACCTTCACAACCTCGCTCCACACCTGTGAGTGATTCACACCAGGACAAGTATGTGAGTGGACAGAAGAGCCAGATTCTTCTTCATTAGAAAGAAAAAAAGGAGAACCAGAACAAGAGTTGTGACATTTTGATTAAAAACATTGAAAGCTAAATAATCAATGCACTGATTCATTTCCAAATTGCAGAAGTAATACAACCGGATGAGTTTTATAAAATTACTACATTTTTTGTTGAAATGTTTGGTGTTCATGTGTTCAACTTACATTTAGAACTAAATTGTGTCATTCCAGTGTCAATACTTTCCAGTTTTATTTACCATCACAGAAACCTAATCTTTACCTAAACCCAAGTCCTGATGCTGCTTTTTTTATAGTAAATCGATATTTGTTATTGTGCTTTTTTATTTACTTTAATAAGATTAAACACATACTGGTATGTAGAACTAGTTTCACCATTAACTACACTTTGTTATTCTTCTCGCTATTGTTGTAAAGTTATCTGGTGTCCTAAAGAACATAAAAGCTGCAGCGGAGAGTCTGTGCCTCACATTAGTGCTTTACGCATGAGGTAACAAAGAGCAATTTCTTGTTTTCTGTAATAGTGGGATGAGCACAGACCGCATACTCTCCTCCTGAGGTGCACCTGTGTGTTTCATGCTGGGACAGAGCTGATACAGTAAGTGGTTCTTTTATAATGACGCTCCAAAAGCAACAGGAGTACATGAAAGTGTTGAGTTGTCATGGTAGCCAGGAATGTTGTCTGCTGTTTACCCCAGTGTCATGCCCTAGGCCTTTGGTTAGTGTGTGTTTGTATGTTATTGTATGTCATGGTGTACGTGTGTGTATGTGTGTGTGTGTGTGTGTGTGTGTGTGTGTGTGTGCATGTAGCCGAACAAAAGCGGATCTATAGTCTGATTTCCAGACTTCAGATCCTGTCATACAATCTGAAACTTTTTCTGGGAAATGTGCAGCAAACCAATGTGTACTCATGAACAAACAGCTTACATTTCCAGAGAAAGGCAACAAGTCAAACACTTGTAGCACACAGTTTCATGAGTAACGCTCTGGATTCAAAACTGACTAATGGCCAAGTATGGAGAAAGAAAATGAAAATGACAGTATGTGAATATACAGTATTTCCCTCAAATGAAGCAGTTCACTGAGAATTTCAACACCATGACATTATCCTGTGCAGCATACTGTACAGTACAATGTAAATTCCTGAAAAAATAATTTCCAGAGTTTGGGAAGCATTAACTTAACTTTAACTGCAATAAAAGAATGATTACTATATGACCGGCGTCATGGTGGCGCAGCAAGATCTCACAGCAAGAAGGTCGCTGGTTCGAGCCTCAGCTGGGTCAACTTATCCAGCATATGTTTTACGCAACAGATGTCTTTCACAAACCATTACCGGAAAACACACACTCAATTACACGCTCATAACACTACGGTCAATTTTAGCATACCCAATTCACTTCTACCACTTTTCTTTGTACTTGTAGGGAAAACCGGAGCACCCGGAGGAAACACATGCGCATACGGGGAGAACATGCAAACTCCACACAGAAATGCCATCTGACCCAGGCTCGAACTAGCGACCTTCTTGCTGTGAGATGAACATGTATCCCACTACGCCACCGGGTGGCCCAGTATTAATCCGCACAGTGGCAAAAGCTGAACTGTTTTGAAAATTGACTGCCGCAAATGTGTAGGAACAGCTGACGGTGGCTATAGCAACAATAAACGGCAAAGGATTGCGAGCTCACAAGCGCATTTAAATCCATAAACAAAGCGGCACACGCAACGTTTTAAACATGGTTTTAGATGCGATACGAGATTATATTGAGTTAACCAGACACGGTACAAGCAGTTACAAGAAACTAAACACAATTAAACACATCATTTCCAAGCTAGAGAAAACAAGAAGGCAACCATTTTAAATCGCACTTACTTACATTTGTGAAACTGATCCATGAACTGTGTACTGTAAAGTTCCTGTCAAGCTCTGACAAAGTCTCATACATCAATAGTCTTTTCTGATTCTTCCTTTAACAAACGGCCAACGAATCCCCAATTGTAAGCGTGTAGATTGCTGAAGCACTCGTCAGAAAATGACAGGAACAGCACAAAGCTGGGCTATAATGCTGAGGTGTTTTTGCAAAAATTAACTTCAACCACGGACTCTTCACAGCCTTAGGGAAAATAAGACTAACTTTCCCTCACACTTCAGAGCACAGCGTCTTCGCGACATAATTCAACCGGAATTTGCTACAGTGTTTGTCTTCCTCTTTATCTTGTTACAGTGTTAGTGGCTGGGGCCGCGGGTTTCAATTTTCCCAGGTTTGCGCGTGCAACAAATGAGCTGAGCTTGAGTTCTGTGTCGATGTTTTGCTGACAAGGCTAAAGACTCGTTGCAGCGGCAATACATTCAAACCACTATGAGTCAACTCTTTTATAGAAGAATTATTAGTTTTAAACACTGCAATTTCAGATTTAAACCTTAGCTGCATATTTCACTTCACTTAAAGCCGTGTTACACACTACATGGAAGCTCGTTTTCAAAAACTCTTAATAGGGGCTCTTTAATTGTTGCTCAACACACACAAATCTGTTAAAATCTTAAAAACGTAATGCTTTCTTAAACCTTTAACGGCAGAACAAATCTCTCACCTTCTCCCTGAATAGTGCACTTGCTGGGGTCCACAGTCTTGGCATGTATGGCTCCTACCACAGGAAATCCCTCCACCTCTCCAGCACTCTCCTGAGGAAGAAAACAAATGCTGCTGGCATTGTCACTGGCAACCGTCGATGGCTGTGGGTCAAACCCTGACTCCACAAGGTTTACCAGTCTCCTCATAGTGACGCCTTTGGCAGTGAGGATTTCGGCATCTGAGCCACACATGAGCAGGCGCTCTGTGAATTCCACCCCACCGCGCACATCAGACAAGGCCTGCTGCAGTTGAGCCTTCTGCAGTTGAAGCTGATTCCTGCGCTGCGTCCTCAAGTCGTCCAGCGAGCGCAGCAGTGAACAGCAATGTGCCTCCACTGCGCTAGCATAGGCCCGAGCGAACGCTCGAATTTCACCTGCCAGTGTATCAGTCCGGGCCTGCATCGCTTCTTGGGACGTATCCACCCGTCTCAAAGACTCCTCCAGACGAGCCAGGCGAGGCTTTAAGCTCCTGACGAGCAAATCCCTGATGCGATCTCCATATCGGCTGATGACTTCGTGAGTAGAGCTGCAGTGGTGCTCGCGGTGGAAAGTGGCAGCACACTCCAGGCACACGGTGAGGTCGCATGGCTCACAGAAGAGACGCAGCTCCTGGCCAGGATGTAGAGAGCACAGGATGGGCCTTGTAAGACGACCCTGAGATTTCAGCTCCTGTAGGGTCTGGATGGAGTGAGACGAGGTCCTCTTCTGTCTCCTGGAAGATACATATTATAGGGTTGATCATGTTGGAAAGAAAAAATAAATTTCTAATCTTTTCTATTCTAAATGTTTTATATTTTAAAGATAACTCATTTAAATCTGATATATGAATCTTAGTGATTTACACAAACTTGCACTCTATTTGTGGTGGCACTTCAAGTACCAATCAAGTTATCACTAATGTAGTCCATAATGTTTATCAGCGGATGTTACTTGTCCCACTGTGTTCACAGGCTTCATTAAACATCAGTCTTTATCTTTTCTACTACTGTGTTTGTTGTGTCTCCATAATAATAATAATAATAATAATAATAATAACGCTGATAAGTTATAATAAGGGGCGACGTAGTGGCGCAGTAGGTAGTGCTGTCGCCTCACAGCAAAAAGGTCACTGGGTTGCTGGTACGAACCTCGGCTCAGTTGACGTTTCTGTGTGGAGTTTGCATGTTCTCCCTGCGTTCACGTGGGTTTACTCCGGGTGCTCCGGTTTCCCCCACAGTCCAAAGACATGCGGTACAGGTGAATTGGATAGGCTAAATTGTCCGTAGGATGTGGATGTTTCCCAGAGATGGGTTGTGGCTGGAAGGGCATCCGCTGCGTAAAAATGTGCTGGATAAGTTGGTGGTTTTGCAAAAACCTATCAAAGCTATTTAATGAATAATATCATGATGGTAGCATTGTCTACAACAGGGGTTTTCAAAGTGTGAGGGAAAAATATAATATAATAAAAATATAATTATTAAGTTTAATTATTATATGTATTTTTATTATATTTAAACATTTTAATTAAACAAAGCAAAAAAAAAATAATACGTCTAAATAATACGTCTAAAATAAGAAAACCTTTTTTACCCAGAAGGCCATAGCTGTGAATTCGCTTCTGTTTGGTAAGCCCGCCAATACAGGTATATGCCTGCTAATACAATGGATCGGTTTCTGAGACCCCCCGATTCAAAGCCTTCAAGTTCAGGGCTTAAACCCAAAAGACGACGATATGATGATCAGTATTTGAGTTTAGGATTTACGTGGACAGGACCTGCTGATGAACCACGACCTTTATGTGTGGTTTGTCAAGATATTTTGGCTAATGACAGCATGAGACCCGCTAAACTTCGACTGTTTTGACTGGGATGGACAGTTCTTGGATCTGTTCTATTCAAATTGAACCATCATCCTAGTTTTAAAAACGTTATATTAAAATACTTATTACTCTGTAAATAATTGCACTTTCATGCAAATGATGATAAAAATTAGTAAACAGTCTGACATCTGTCTGTGTCTTTATATATAAACTGTATGTACATACATATATATATACATATATATATATATATATATATATATATATATATATATATATATATATATATATATATATATATATGTATGTATATGTATATGTGTGTGTGTTTGTGCGTGCGTGTTTGGATCGAGGGGGGCGCCAATGGATAAGTTGTGTCAAAAGGGAGGCCCACTGTCTTAGACTTTGAAAAACCATGGTCTACAAGATTTCTGTGCGACTGAATGTTTCTGTTAAAACTGACTGGAACTGACCAGGCCTACTGCATTTGGCGGTCAATATTCATATTGTGGTGGGCCACTAGAAATCAATCAATGCAAAGGAAATATTGAATCCAATACTCTTTTATCTCTTGTTTATACTGTCTTCATTATATGTATTCATATAAAAAAAAAATCAGTGATGATCTTGTAACATTGATATTGCTTTGCTGGTTTCCCTTAAAAAAGGGAAGATTTTATACCTTCTAATAATAACAACACACACTCTCTCTCTCTGATTAAAAATCATTTTAGTATTTAGATATTTTTAAACTTTTGATTAGGCAAGGTGCATATTAGTAGCTTAAGTATACATGTAAATACAGAAAAAAGTACAAAATTGTACCATTACAGTTACATTTTTTATCTTCGTATATTAGCATATGTTAGCATATTAGCTATTTATTAGCAATAATAAAGCACATATTAATGTGTTGATCTACATGGACATCTTCAAGAAGTGTTAACTACTACTATGACTACATCTATCTTCCTTATTATTAATAAGCTTTTATTAATCGTTTATTGAAGAAAATAATCTGTTAATCCATAATCTCAACCTCTATTATTAATTTTATCTATAAATTCTATAGCAAAGCTATGTGCGTACGGCTGTGTTCACAAAGGACACATGCTCAGGACAGCCATTTCTGACTATTCAGGGTGTAATGTTACATCTGAAGATTTTGAACAACCATAAAACTTGACCTTTAACTCAAAATTGTACAAGGAGATCCTATTTAAATCCTACTCAACAGCTGTCTCCAAATCTACAAGTATGTAATGCTTTTGAATAAGACCTATTAGAATAAGTCTCATTTTCATTGTTATGTGACTAACAGATTCCCCCATAGCATCATGGGATATTCAGACTGACACTGGATGTGCACTTCAGAAATGTTCCCAAAGTAGTTTACACACAATTTAAAATTTTTTTTACAATTATTATATTAGCCTACACACTTGTCATTACACTTTACAAACCTCCAAAAACATAACTTTAAAAAATGAAAATATTGATTGTGTTAAATGAATTCAGAGTGAAAATTTAAAGGCTGTTTATGTGTGATTTATGTCTTCAAGGGGACCTATTATGCAAAATCACATTTATAAGAGGTTTAAACATAGTTGTGTAGCAACAGTATGTGAAAATAACTACTTTCTAATGGTAAAAAGGTATATATTTTTTATAAGCACACTTGATTAACACTGCTGAAACACTTTGACTGACATTCTTTCTTTGTACATGTAATCAGAGGGGGAAAGCCCCGCCCAATTATGACAATCTCTGCTTCATTGGCCTAGTATGTTAGTCTTGGTTTTAATCTGCCACTATAATGACACATAGGCGTTTGTAGCCCCACCCTGTTTTGAAAAAGTGCACAATCTCATTTAAATATAAAGCGACTGTCACCAAAACAGCACAATTTGAATCAAAGTCTAAAAAGGGCCATTTCACAGAGTTATAAAGCATTACTTGTGGGCTATTTTGAGCTATAATTTCACATACACACTCCAGGGTCATCAGAGATTTATTTAACATCTTGTAAAAAGGGGTATATTAGGTCCCCTTTAAAGATGCTATACTTGCAGTGGGAGCCAACTGTAGTAAAAACTGTTAGATTCAGGTTTGGAATCAGTCACATATTGGGTGAGTGAATGGTGAGATTATTTTCATTTGATTATTAACTGTCCTTTTTACATTTGAGCTTCGGAAATATAACGTTAGCCACGTCGGATTTCTTGGGTGAATAAATCAGTCAGTGATTAAACTAACCTGTGGGCCTGACTGCAGAAGTCGCAGAGATTGACACAGCACACCTCACAGCGCTTCCCCGCGTCGCTGTCGCTGCACAAGTCGCACAATACACTGTTGTTCACCACCAGTGTCTCCGTGAAAACCTCGTCCAGCGCAAGGTGATCAGTGGTCAGCCCATCCACACCCGACGGCGGCAGATCCACCTCTGAATCACACTGGGGACATAGGATTGTGGAGCCAGAGCCAGAGTTGTCTTCACCGGGCGAGCGTCGGTCCCCGTTTACGCGACGCACCGAGAAGGGCTCGAGCTGGCGAACGCAGTCCGCGCAGAACGTGTGCAGGCAGGGAAGGATTTTAGGCTCTCGGTACATCCGATTACAAACCCCGCAGACCGCTCTGGACTTCTTCAAGCTGTCCCCATTACTTTTACTCTGGGCAATGTCTCCCTTCTCTTTACAAAGTGACATATCTTAGGCTATTTAAACAATGACCTTTAAAATGGCTAATCGTCTTCAGTAGGACAGCAGTATTCTACTTTTGTTGATGTTTACTAAAAAATGCAGCACCCACCAAACTTTTAGAAACTTTCTCATGTTATTTGAGAATGTGTATCGCCGTCCAATCATGTTACGCGTACAAGCTTGGAGGCGTGTCTTGAAATCAGACCAGTCGTGTAAAAAAGAGAGATCCATCTAGACATCAAAAGCACTCGGAAGTATGGGTGTCCCCATCTGCTGGATACAGATCGAAACAAGCTAAAGATTGCCCCTGACACTTTTGGAGGCAGTTAGTTTTTAATGCTTTATTTCATGCTGAATTGAAAGGTAATAAATTATTCCCTTTACAAAAGAAAATTTGAATAGATCAAGACATCCAAGTGCAACGATTATGATATTTTGTTTCATGCTGAGATTTAATTAATACCTTTACACCATAGACTTTTTCTAATGTATTCAATAAACCCTGATACAATTTTTTTGTAATATTAAATGCTTGATTTTTTTTTCTGTTGACAGGATTATTATGATTAGACAGCTATTAAAGGGATTCCAAAAGATTTGTGGTGAATTTTCTTTAGCTATAGACATGTTGTTTTGGGGATTTTATATTAAAGAAAAACCATTCCTTAACTCAACTTTTTGCATCAACTTAATTTTATTTATTCGTTTATACACAATATAAGTTTTTACACAAGTGCAAATATACTCAATTTATATTTTTTAAATATTTTTAATTTTTAATTTTTTAAACGAGAATTGGAACTGTACTTAAAAACCATCACAGAGTCTTATAACAAGACCACAATTAAAACTTATAAAACATGTGCTTTATTTAGTCTGCATTCATTTGTTTTCTTGTTTCATGTACCCTCATTTATTTATTTTTAGTTTCCCTTTCTTTCTTTCTTTCTTTCTTTCTTTCTTTCTTTCTTTCTTTCTTTCTTTCTTTCTTTCTTTCTTTCTTTCTTTCTTTCTTTCTTTCTTTCTCTCTCAGTGTTTTTCTTTTGCTTTACCTTTGTTATATTTCTTTAAAATTGTTACTTTTTTTTTCTTGTTGCAAAAAGATATTTGTATTGCTAGTAAAATACTTCTATCTGTCTGTATTTCTATTTGTTTTATATTGCCTATCGTTATTGCAAAAAAAAAAAGAAAAAGCTATTTAAGGAATAGTTCATCCAAAACTGATAATTTTCTGTTAATTTTCTCACCATCATCCATCCAAGATGTTGATGACATTTTGTCTCTTAATTAAAATGTATGTCAAAATAAGTTTTTTTTAGCTGGTCATTGATATCTCATAAAATGCAAGTTAACAGCTAATGTCATTTTGGGAGTAAAAAATCTATGTTAATAATCTCTCTAACAATCCAATGAGGTCTTGGAAACAAGTAAATGTTCACCGTGCAAGAAACTGCACATTATTTTCAACATCACTCTACAGATTTTAGCAGTTTCTATAGCAGTATATCACTTACACCATGGTAAACGGTAAGCAAATTATCAGCAGACGTTCAGTCTTGGTCGAACTATCCCTTTGTATAAAGGTCTTTTGTTATCTGTAACACACAGTAAGGTCCCTTAAAGGACAGAAAACTGAAAATTCTGTCATTATTTACTCACTCTTCATTTGTCAGAAAATTGTTTGAGTTTCTTTCGTTGAAAAATGCTGAAAATCAGATCAATGACTAACATAATATTTGTTTTTCTTATTATGGAAGTCAATGGTTACAGATTTCTAACACTCTTCAAATAAGCTTATCGTTTCATTCATTCATTTTCTTGTCGGCTTAGTCCCTTTATTAATCTGGGGTCACCACAGCAGAATGATCCACCAACTTATCCAGCAAGTTTTTACGCAGCGGATGCCCTTCCAGCCGCAACCCAACTCTGGGAAATAAGCTTATCATGTTCAGAAGAAAAAAATATATATATTTCATAAGGTTTGGAAACCCCTTAAAGGGGAGTAAATAGTGAGTACATTTTAATGAGTATTAGTTACTGCATTACATCAACTAAGACATTAATTCAATTTACAACAGTGTTTTTAATGTTTTATTACATTATAAATAGACAAATGTTTAATGTTAGTCTCTCACAGGTTTATTGCACAGTAATAACAGACACACCTTTTGATGCTACAGCAGTTATGCTAAAATGAACATGAACCAAGATTATTGAACGCATTAGACATATACTAATGTTATTAACTACCGGGCTTTGTCATTAAGTCTTACTTTCTTATCCTTAATTAATTTCTAAACATATTTATTATCCCCTTATAGATGAAATTATAAATCTAAATTATAATAATTATAAAATTTTAAAAAGTACAAAGTGGTGCAAATGGTAATTCAACTTATTTCCAAGAACAGTTTAGCTGTATGTAAAATAGTCCATGATAAATAATTTTACCATGTGTAAAATGTGTGTTCATGAAATAAAAAGAATTTATCTCAAGAGGAAAAATAACTATTTTATGTTATTTTATATCGTTCGAGTTCAATCGTAAAAAAAATGTATGACTTAAAAAAGGAGGCGTAGCACCCAAACCCACCCCTAAACCTGACAGTCATTGATGAATATGCAAATTGTATATAGCGTTGGATTTATCAAATATTTTTGTTGTTGTGGGTATTTGACAGGTTTCTAGATCTTCTTCCAGTTGGAAAAGTCACCATTTAAAATGTGTGAGTATTCAGTACAACATATTCCAGTCTGTAGCAGCTGATAAATACAGTCCTTTATAATTGATCAGCTTGACCATTGCTGGAGAGACTTGTCTACCGGACTCCATATAGAAGAATGAGGACTGTGACCAGTAGATGTAAACATGACTTTTTTGTAGATGCAGCATTGAAAATGAAGTATGTGCTCTGCGCCACTTTGTGTGCTGAGAAACAGTAAAGATAAAGAAATAGTTTATAACAGAAACATAGTGCTGTGTAACTCATGATCTACATGTGTCATTCTAGTTAATGAGTCACAACCAGTTTGTTTGTCCAAAGTGTCCAATCTGTCATCACATCTTTTTTTTAAACAAACCTGATTTGATATGCAGTGCTCTGTGTAAATGTTATTAATATGGGTGAGTCCTTCCTAATAATTGGTTTCATCGTTTTTATTTTTTCCACTGTAGACTATTTTACCTGTGACAGTTGCTTCTGAGACAGCGACCACAAGAGAGTTCTGGATGAGACATCGGTAAGTTTCATTCTCCTTTACTGGGTCTTGAAGCAGACTAGAAACATGTATGATTCCTGCAATGTTGAAAAAACTAGTGCTGCTGTTTAAAATCTGCCCACTTTGATTGTACCAGTTCACCTCTGGCTGAGGAAACCATTTAGTTGCCACGGCAGACAGAGATCCATTGGTCAGTTCAGTAAATGTGGGAGCTGAAAAAGCTTCAAATAAACACACAGATCTGAGTTAATACACAGATATCCTATATCTGCCATGTTATGCTACAAACAGAAATCATTCATATCTTTTAATCGGAATTCACAAATCCTCACGGGATAGTAAAGTTTCCATCTTACGCACTCTCTTATGACTTCAGACACATTTCTCTTTTTACATACTGTACCATTCTTCGACTAATACAAGCACAATTCAGAAAAAGTTAGGACGGTTTAAACGCAGGAAACCTGACACGCAAATAAATAAGAAAGTAGTGATTTCATTACACCATTAATTGGAGCTTTTGTAGCCGATAGGGGGTCTTCTTTTCCAGGGGGACGCCCATGCATGTTTAAACAAGACAATGAAAAACCTCATTTTGCACACATTACAAAGTCCTGGCTATGGCGGAAAAGAATACAGGTACTTGACTGGCCTGCCTGCAATCCCGACCTGTTTCTAATAGAGAATGTGGGCTGCATTTTAATGTGCAAAATGCAAAAGAGGGGTCTGGATGCAGACCTGCAGAAAAATGCTTTTTAATGGGCTCACCTAACCCCACCCTAACCCTACCCCTCACGGTGACATCACAAGCTAAATTTGAGTGCATTGTGTCTGACATTGCATCCGACATTGCATCAGCTTTCATCATAAAGGCTGCATACAGATACTAGTAAAATGCAACAACGATGACCCCATACCCCTTTTCCCACCTTAAGACTTGCTAGCAGGAGGAATGGGACAAAATTACACTTGAAACACTTCATCACTTGGTGTCTTCAATCCATAAATGTCTTTTACGTGTTGTGAAAAGGAATAGCAACATTACAAGGTGGTAAATGCTTTTCTGTTTCAACCTTTTAAGAAATGTCTTGCAAGAACCAAAATTGGAATACGTTTTTGTTTTGGAAAAAAAAAAAAATCATTAGGAACACATTAAAACAACCCAGGTTTATTCTGAAATTGTACTGCTATATACATTTCTGGAGAGCACCAAACACGTCCCAGGGGCTATGTTTTTTGGAGTTTTTGTTTTTACGAATTTGCCAGAAGCCGATGTGTATGCTATTTGAGATCTCAAATTTCTCTTATGAGTGCCATTCTCGCCTGCTGTTCTCAAGTAAATCCACCAAAGGCTGTTGTCGACTGTCTGAATGACTGACTGATCAATCAACTGACCCACCCTTCTCTTTTCGTAAACCCAACCAATAGTGTTTTCAAGCACGAAGCGCGGAAAGAAACAGTGTCATACGGCACTGTAGCATTTGTTTTAAAGATAAAATCCAGCCATACGTACTTCTGGTTAAATAATTGGCAATCTCCAAAAATGTATATAGGGCTACGTTTTCAGAATGAGCCTATGTTGCTTTAAATAATGTTTGTTGTGTTATCAGAAATGAAATACAAAGTCAAAGTAAATTTAGAAATCACTACTTTCCTTTTTATTTACGACTTTCACACTATCCCAACTATTTCTGATTTAGGGTTATAATTTTGTATATAATATTTTATAATGTTTCTGACTGAATCAGTTTTGAACAAACAGATTGCGTGAATAATTCAATGACTTACTCAAAAAAGGATTAATGGTATACATAAAAAATAAACCAGAAAAATGCTATTTTAAACAGTATATGCTTTGAAAGAAAGAAAGAAAGAAGGAAAGAAAGAAAGAAAGAAAGAAAGAAAGAAAGAAAGAAAGAAAGTATTTACCAGCTACTCTGAGTGTAACAATGGCAGTTCCGGAGACTTTTGCTGCATTGACAGTGCAGCGATACACGCCGTCATCCTCCAGCTTTATGTTTCTCAGCAGCAGGGAAGCGTTCCCTGTTGAAATTGAGTCTGGGAACAGTTGAGCCCTGTTGCTGAACTGTGCGTTCTGTGTCTGAAGCTGGGCTGCTTTGTTCTTGTATTCATAAACCACACCACTGACGGAATCTTTCAGCCAAGTAATTGACACATCACTAAACTGTCCATTGCCTGTGTTACTAAGAAACCTGCAACCCAGCATCACATCATCATCAAGATTTCCCACAGTAGTTGGACTAATGCTCTCAACGGTGCCTTGGGACACTTGGAAACAAACAAACACATAGATAATTAGTTTTAATTACAGTCCAAAAGATTTATAATCACACAAACTCTATGAAAGTTTGATAACACTTTAGTTTAAGGAACAATTCTTACTTTTACAGCACAAACTCTTAAGGAATACACACAATTTGGTCTTATTTTTTGTTTTGATTAAATCATCTAATTGAAAATGTATTATACATAGTGTAAAAAATGTTGGGCTCCAAACAATCGATTTGTAAAGGGACAACAGGAAAGAATTAAAATAACTTATTCATTTTTTATTTTATTTTTTTTTACAAATTTTAGTGGGTTAAACATACTGTAAAACAATTAAGTAGTCCCAATAAACCCTTAATAAACCCTGTTGTTTCAGCTCAATTTAAATAAGTTCATTCAGCAGCTCATCTTTTGAGTATACATACACTAAATATTTTAGAAGTTATGTATATGCTTGACTGATGTACTGTCCTTCGGAAACTCAATATCTTAACTCATATTGTAGTGTAATAATGCAGACTTTTTGTAAATTTGCTTTAGAATGATACTTATTGTGAAAAGCGCTATACAAAAAATATTAACTGGTGGCTTATTATTACATGCCTGTTATATAGATATTAGCTTTTTATTTGTACTTATGAAGTACATATTCTGCATGATCTTATTCTAAAACACCCAATAAGCTGCAAATTAATGGGTAATTGAGGCAAAAGTCAGAGTTAATAATGGTTTATTATAGTGAGAATTGTACATTAAAAAAGTGTGACCAAGAGTTTTACTAACCTGAAAATGCAATAGCCAAAATGAAAACGATGATTCCAGACATGACTACTATGAGACAAATCATACTGCAGAAGACACACATTCAAAATTGAACCGTTAAACAGTACACTTAACTATTTAACATGAAATAGAGAAGTAAGTAGCCCATGTTTCTACCTTCCAAAGATTATTTGTCCAATTGAAGCCATTTTGGTGTAAGCTGGTCTACTTTTATGAAGTGTATTTGATGAATCGATGTACCGCTGTGCTCAGCATCTCTGTAGACGGCATAATAAATCAACAGGCAAAGACGGACGAGCACGATTTAATCCCCTCAGACTAGTTTCTAACTTTGCTTCCACTGAAGGAGATCAGCACCTCCTCCCTAAGTCAATATTAGTTACCTCTGAGAGGTGTGTCCTGATACTCTTGATAAAACACTGCTTGACAAATTGTTGGTAACCTTTTCACCTACTGTAAATACAGTTGAGTGTGTGTATGATCTCATCTACATAACAGGTCATAAGAATAAAATAAAACAATTTTACTTACTGCAATTACTGAATGAAGTAAGGTTTTACTCTACTTTATATTAAAAGTAATTTATTTATAGTTAGCTATTATGTACTTGCCTTATGTCACAAATACCAGTGATCTAATCCTGGAAGATAGCTGGTAAACTTGCAGATCACTACAAATCCGCAATTACATAGACTACAAGTTTCAGTCATGCTCCACTCACACGCACCTGTTCCAGATTTGGTTGATTGTGCACACTCACAGCCATAGGATCATTATGGACTGATTACAAGGACTATGTATGTACAGTACACAGCACAAGCGCACCTTTCATTGATAAGTCTTGTTATACTGTTTGTGAACATTACGACGCGTCTGCTGCCTGCGTGTACCTACCATTCGCCTGTTATTTTACTAGGGCTCTGGATTTACATCTGTTTACCTCTGTGTTGACTGTTGCTTGCCCGACCATTCTTTGTTCAATAAACCTGCATTTGGATTCACATCTCCTTTGTCAGCGTCCACTTCACATCACAACTTATATACTGTAAATGAATTCAGCAGTAATCCATAACTATCTCTCTGGTAACAATTTGTTCGAGCTCTTCCAGTCTGGTTTTCGTCCCAACCATAGCACTGAGAATGCTCTTGTCAGGATTACTAATAATTTACTACTGGCAGCAAACTCTGGTTTACTATCAATTCTTATTTTTCTGGACTTGAGTGCAGCTTTTGACACGGTTTCGCACAAGGTTCTTTTGAAAAGTCTTGCCTAGGGACTAGGGATCTCTGGCACCCCTCTTTTATGGTTAAGGTCATATCTCGCAGATTGTACTCAGTTTGTGTAAATTAAAGATTTTAAGTCAAGATTGCAGATTGTCACTGCTGTTTATCATATATCTACTGCCTCTTGGTCACATTCTGAGAAAATACAACATACAATTTCACTGCCATGCTGGCAACACTCAACTCTACCTGTCCACCAAGCCCTCCAGTTCTGCTTTGAGCTGATGCTTAGCTGAAATAAAAATCTGGCCTTCAGCTAACTTTTTAAAATTAAACAGAGACAAAACTTCTCATCTGCACTAAAATGTTTTGGATAAAGCTGACCATTTTACAACAGACATTGATAATAGCACAATTCTTCCCTCTGTGCAGGTAAAGAGTTTGGGTGTCATCTTGGATAGCACTTTCTCATTTGAAGGTCACATTAAATTTATTACGCATATGGCATATTTCCACCTGCATAATATCACTCGTCTCCGCCCTTCTCTCGCAACCAATAACACAGCAATTCTTACCCATGCATTAGTTACTTCACGTCTTGACTACTGTAATGCACTTCTTTCTGGTCTTCCTTCCAAACTTCTCTGTAAACTCCTACTGGTTCAGAACCATGCAGCTCGTGTAATCTCTCACGAGCATGTCACACCACTCCTCTATCAATTTCACAGGCTTCCAGTAAAGTATCATATTGATTTTAAAATATTACTTCTAACTTTCAAGACACTTCATAATCTTACTCCTCAGTATCTCACCGAACTTGTCCATATCTACACCCCTTCTCTCACCCTTAAATCAACCAACAACTCCACCCTGGTACCACCTTGCACTTGATTGAGCACAATGGGAAACAGATCCTCTACCTCTATGGCTCCTCGGCTATGGAATTCACTTCCCCTAGATCTAAGGAGCAGTGATAATCTTCACAATTTTAAATCTCATGTAAAGACAAATCTTTTTAAGCAGGCTTTTCTTTAACAATTTTTTATCATGTTTTTTATCATGTTATTTTATATTAGATATTGTGCCTTTACCTGTTTGGTCAATGCTTGTTTGGTAGTGTTTTATTATTTGTTTAATTTGTTTTAGCTTGGCTGTTGATGCTTATTGAAAGGCGACGTTGGGTGTCTAGAAAGATACCATTTACAAATAAAATGAATTATAATTATTACTATTACCAAATTCTTTGCAAACATGGCCATTCCTGTGGCTCAAGACTTCCTGTGCCATTCACTTTAGTTAATTTTTAGCTTTAATAAACAGTTTGTTGTTCTGCTTGATGTTGCAATCTGGTATTTTTTGCTCATGAACACATAGGGTTGTAGAGCAAGCTGTTTGACTGTTTACTGCCATTTGTTATTCCTAGTGATTTTTTTTTTCAAATGATAGAATTGTTTTTGTTTAAATTATACAACGTTGGTAACACTTTATTTTGTTGGTCCATTTAAGTATTATTATACTGTCTTCTTAATATCTGTGGATAATGCTCCTTCAACAGACAATTAACTGACTATATAAAATCTGTGCAAGTACATGTCAACTTACACTAACCCTAACCCCAACCCAAACAGTCTACTTATAATCTAATTGCAATGTACAATGTAACTAAATTCAACAAACCAACCATTAAAATAAAGTGTGACTCTATTATTAATGTCAGACAACGTTCGAGGTTACAGAAGTAACCCTTCGTTCCCCGAGGAGGGGAACGGAAGTGTTATAGGTGGATTTGATGTAGAAAATCCACGTATGGGAGGATTCGGTTCAGAAGTCGCTTGTCTGAAAGAGTATTGGTAGCGCTGGTAGGTGGCTATCGCATGCAAGGCAGAAGCAGCCTGGCCCGCAGCTTTGTAAGCTCTAGCTCCGAGGGAGCAGATAACTTACAGGCTTTGGATGGGAGACGAGGCGGACCCCTCCAAGAAGAGGCGCCGCGCGGATTGACAGACATCGCGAACTTAACCTGAGGAATCGTCACATACCCCCTGGCCGCTCCACTGTCAAGAGTGGTGAGGGTGGAGGGACACGCAGCACGAGCAGAAAAAAGTGCCCTTCAAGACCGCGTGAGCCTACTGTGCACCTCTGGGAAGAAGGGAACGCCCCTCTAGTCAGTCCGGCTGCGGAGCTGGGGGATAAACCATCTCCAACCCACGGCCGAAGCAGCCCGGGAAAGCACAGCTAACATGTCCGTTTCAGGATCCGTTTTGAAAGCGCTCACCTGCCCGAAGGGGGCGAGCGGGTCTGGATCATCATCAGACAATGAAAGCCCACCCTCCGATGCCGCGGTGGATGTCTGGTCTCCGGTGTCATCGAGCGTAAGGGCTACCATCTGTTAGACGGATCGCTTCCCCCGCCCGAAGCTTAGATGGAGCGCTTGAAGGAGCGAGAGGTTTGCGGGCCCGTGGGCGACGGATTATCTCTCGCTGAGCCCTCAGATCTGCCCGAGCGCCCGCTGCAGAGCAGGGCACAACTGGGGTGGTTCGCCCTTTTGCAAAGGCTAGCTGCGATCTTTACTGCGCAACAGTCATGGCATCGCAATGATGACATGAACTGCCCGCAAGCAGCGCATTAACATGCTGGAGCATGTAACGCAGTGCCCGTGCCCATCATCCGAGGACAGAAAACCACAGCATCCAGAAATGCACAGTCAGAGCGCCGTCCTGAAAAGGACGTGCTGCACGACTGTGTTGCTCTCTTCAACTTTATACGCACCGCTCTGGAGGACCGGACCCAAAGAATCGCCAGGCAAGGGAGAAAACCCAGCTCGACAGTCTGCCGCTGCGTTGTACACACTCTGGACCGGAAGAATGCTCTCGTTCGCTCGGTATCGCTGGATCACAGCAGGAGGAACCCTCATCGACTCGATCAGAAAGTCTCTGAAGCGAAAAGGATGGCGTTTGCTCACGCCAGGTGCTTATATGCTGGAATAATTGGCAATGAAGCACACCTGCGCAAGCTTACGCTGCCAATTCATTGCTTTCATTGGCCCATTCAATACTCTTTCAGACAAGCGGCTTCTGAACCGAATCCTCCCATACGTGGATTTTCTACATCAAATCCACCTATAGCACTGGAGTTCCCTAACCGAAGGGGAACTGTATATTCTTTGGAAACAATGAATTAAGAAATTATTAGTCAGTGACAAAATGTACATGAAATATTAAAATGCTTAAAGGAATAGTTCACCAAAAAGTGAAAATTCTGTCATCATTTACTGAACCTTCACTTGTCAGAAAAATGTTTGAGTTTGAAAAAATGTGCAAACCTCTAATCAGTGACATCCATAGGGAAAAACAAATACTATGGAAGTCAATGGTTTTTAACATTTTTCAAAATGTCTTCTTTTGTGTTTAACAGAAAAAGGACACTCACTAAGTTAAGAAACCACTTGAGGGTGAGTAAATCTATATTTTTGGGTGAACTATCCCTTCAAGTATTGCATTAATATAAAGCTAAAGCTATGTTTGACTCAAATTCTGCGAATTAAGAGTTTAATTATATTATTTATGTGTTGTGATTTGTTCGGATTTAACAAAAATATTTCTTATTTCTTATGTTACTTTTCAGATGTAGAAAAAGACATTTAAATATTAATCATGTAATTTGTAATATGTAATAATTACAATTTTGAAGTCACTTACACAAACCTGATCCTATCATGATCATACTAAACTCAAAACGACAGTAACGTCACTTTTAGATTTTGAAGTCTTTAGTGTTCATCACCAGTGCTGTGAAGTGTGCAGAGCTAAAGCCTAAATCCTTTACAAGAGGATGCATGTAGTTTTATTTGACTTTTATCTGAATTTTTAAATATTCACAATAGGTCTTATAGTTATGTCTCCTGAATGGGTTATAGGAGGTACAAAAATACCCCCAGTGATTGCCTCTGTAATCTAAAAGTTACAGTTTTGTACAGTTTTTCTGTATTAGCATTTTTAATAGAACACTATGCAAACATACACTACCGGTCAAAAGTTTGGGGTCAGTACAATTTTTTAATATTTTAAAATAAGCTTCTCCTGCTTCACCAAGGCTGCA